CACACACACACACACACACACACACACACACACACACACACACACACACAACATGAGAGAGGAGATGTTAGCAGAGAAGGAGGTAGAAGGGGAAAAGACATTTGGGCAGAGCTATAGAAAAGGCTCTGGAACCCAGACTTCTCCATTCCTCAGCCTCTAAACTCCCCATGAATTCTGATGGTAGGAGAGGTCAGTAAGAAGTGAACAGGAATACAGTTCTGGGTGTATGTGTGTGTTTGTGTGTTTGTGTGATCCTTCTGCCACTTCTTTATACTCCTCCACAGATGATTCCACTTCTCGTTTCAAACCAGAAATCGAGGTTTATGAAAATATCCACTTGACCATCCCCAGGTAAGGAAGGAACTAGAACGCCAGGTGCCTGAGTCCCTAATATGGTGCAGTGAGAGAGAGACAAAAAACTTGGGTATTTGAAGAGTTGGGGAATATGTTAGTGGTCTGTTTCTCTATTTTCTTACCCACCCTCTCCTTCCTTTATCTCTCAGCACACCTGCCCCCAGGACCATGTGATCTTGATGATGTTATCTGCAAGGAGAAGGGATCTGCAGATCTCCTTGGAAACCCAGGATGAAATGAAGCTCCTGTTACCTCATCAAAAACATGGGGACTTGGGAGGCTGTACTGCCACTGTTCCTCTTGTCTCCTCTGGGGAGAACTGTTGGGGAGAGGGAAGAGGGGGAAAGGATGTTTCACAAATGAAATTATGTTGTCACCTATCTCCTAGTGTATACACAAGCCAGTTTCAACACGTTGGGGAATGCTGTGGTCAGCTGGGTGAGGCGTGGGGGGGTACGCTTCAGAAGTAAGGAGGTGACGTTAAAGGCAGAGAGAAGGGAGGCTAAGAACAAAAAGAAGAATAAAACCAAGGAAGGGGGCCCAGGGAGGAAAAGACTGAGGAAAAAGAGAAGGACTGAAGGGCAGTGAGAGAGGGTAACTAAAGGGCAAATTGAAAAGAAAAGCTTAGAGCTGGACACATCTCCTGTTGCCTCATCCTCCTAAAAGTGAATCATGAAAGAAATCAAAAGGATCAGGTACCTGCTAATCTCAGGGCATTACACAGCTGGAGAGAACTGTCATTTTACTGGAAGAGTGAATGAATGCAGGCCACAGAATCCCACTAATCTTATCCATAAACTCACCCAGGATATACACATACATACATACATACATACATATACATACTACACACTTTCTTCACCTTATTTTCCCAAAGAGAAATGTGCAGACCACAATTTCCAGAACTGGTATTAGCCACACCCTCTCCACTGCCCATGAATCCCTTAGTCCCCTATGTACATCCTGACCCTTCTTGTCCCCATGTCTCCTGAAAGTGGCTATCCTGGAGGTATGGTGGGCCCAAGGACTGCATGTTATGGTCACTCTCTTGAACATCTGGGCTGAAGTGAACGTTTTATTCCTTTCCCCCTAGAACTTTAAGGGTTGGTGCCAGCGTCTCGGTTAACCCAGTCTCCTAAGCCATTATCTCCACCCTGTTGGCTCTCTTTTCACACACAACTCCCTCATATCTCTTTTTTCCCTCCTTCTGCAACAGAGAAATTTGGACTAGGGATTTGGGGTAGAATGAGGAAAGTCTGACACCCACCTTCTCTACCCCCTGAGGAACTCTAGAAAAGAACCGTCCAGAAAGTGATACTCCACCTGTCTCCTGATCTTGCCCTTCAGAAAAGTTATCTTGTTGCCTTGACTTAAACCCTGCCCTGGGAGAGGAGGGGAGGAAGATACTCAATGACTGGATCTTGGCTACACCTATTGGGTCCATAGCCTACAGCAGGCATTCTCACTTTTTTAG